AATAAAGCTCTTGTAAAATTCTCTTTAGAAAAGTTTGAAAGAGGTGTAAACTTCATTAGGGGTTGTCCATAAATTATGTCATGCTTAGGGAGGGGTGGTCTCAATTTGTGACGCAACATTTTTTATTTTTTTAGAGAGAAGACGTTCTTTTAATTAAAAGAGTATCTTACCAAACCAAAACTCTCAGTTGATGTATCTAAATGTTGATTGTAATATTAACTACGCCTAAATCTTACTTAGTCGATGTATACACTCCGTTACAGCCTGTTAACGGTTACAGCCGGTTAACGGACTGTTACGGCTGTTTGTGCAGTGCACGTTCTGCGCTTTGAATTTATATAGTTCAAGTGCAGAACTTTATTTAGTTGGTGCACAAAAGTGTGCAGCAACAAAAAAACAATCTTTGTGCAATAACAAAAAAAAATGTCTTCTTCTTGCTCCGGCTATTTATTATATATTTACAATCTCATTATAAATATTATACGGTAAAGAAAATTAAAAAAAAAACATTGAGAGAACCCCTCATATCATACAGGTTATTACATTGGTTTATAATGCACTTATGGTTGTCATAGTTTCAAATTGAAGATTAACGCATTTGAAACATTTTATCAAATTTTATCAAAGGTTATAAATTCGAAATGAAGGACTATTAAACTTTAATTATATAAATGTTAATATTTATATAAATATATTTATATAAATATTAACATGAATTAAAATTAAATATTTCTATCATTTTAGCACATATCCTATAGATTTTTAAACTGAAAAGATGATTTTATTAAAATGTAGAAATTTAATAAAAGTTTTATTTTATGATTTTATTGTCACTATTTGAATCTATTTCGATTTTATAAACTCATAACATTCTTTTTATTTTTCGAAATTTGTAGTCAATTGCTTCTATTTTTTATTTTTCTTCGTTCATTTTCTATTCTTTTTCTTTTAATTTATTTTTCTGCTGACACTTACTTTTTTCATAATTTATTTTTCCTCCATTTTTGAATTTTCTTGCTTTTTTGGTTTTTGAATTTCGTTTATACGTCATAATTGAAGATAAATGTTCCATTTTGTTCTTAGAATTTAAGACTGGTTGTTTTGGACGTATAGAAATGTTTTCGGTTGGATCTATAATTTCTTTTGCTATTTTTAAACTGAAACAAATTGGTTACGGTTCTATCGTGGAAGTATAAAACAGATGGAGGTTCAACCGCATTTAAATTCTTCGGGACTATGCTTGTAACCTTTTGTTTCGTAAACAATAAGAAAAAGACATAAAGACTGTACTTAAACGCTTATTCTTTATACGTTGACTTTGACGCAACTTACGTTTAAAATAATTTTATAATATATTATTTTGAAGGTTCGCCAATAATATTCAAGAAAAACATTAAAAATGGCGCAACAAAACGGCAAACAACAATTTTTTTATAAACTTCAAATTAAATGAATGGAGTACTACAAGAATGAATGAAACTATGATATACAGCTTATGAAACTTTAAACTTTTGTTATTTAGAAAACAATTTTTTGATTTTTTAAAAAAAAGCTTTAGTTGTCTCTTTAATCAAATGTCGTGTTATGACTTTTTATTATTTTTTTATTTTTTTTTTGATATTTAGCCGTACAAGTATTTACGAGTTCCGTGTTTTAGAACATATATAAAAATCGCAAGGACGAGAAGAAGACCGGTTTGCCTAATCACCAAGCCCCTTGTTTTTTCAAGATATTTATATAAATACGTTGTAACTAATATTAAAAATTAAAAATGAAAACAAAAATCAACAGCAACAACAACAAAAAAAAGAAAACATGAAAAAATTAAATACATAATGTTAATTATGTATTTAATTTAAAAACAATCAAAAGATATATATACACATACACAATTATGTATATATATATATATATACATATACAAACTTGCGCACGCATACATATACACATACACACACATCCGTATTTGACTTGCTCGTACTTGACTCGTTCGTACTCGACACATTTGTACTTGACTTGAATTCGTACTTGACTTGACTCGTACGCAACTTGAAGCAAGAAAAGAAGCTTAAACTAACATATGCTTTTAAAATCAAGTGGTTCTATTTAATTACCGTGTTTTAATAAACCTTTTGCTGAATAATTGCAATTACTAATGGTTAAATCTTTGCAGCGTATCCCTAGAATAATTCATTTTTTGATGTTTTTTTTTATTTCAGTGAATTTTGTTGTTTTTTGTCCAGTGAAAGTTTTTTTTTTTTTTTATTGTCGGTTACAAGCATACTCCCAAAACGACTTGAAATTGCTTTGATGTTAGCGGCCCATCCCTTTTATACTTCCATGGTTCTATACAGCTGCAATTTTATAGTTAGCAGTTTCAATACCGGTTATAATTTACACATTTTTTATACTACAGGTAAGTAACAGATTTTCATTATTCTGTTGTACGTCATGAGATAAAATTATTGTCAGGTAAAGCTCTTTTCCAAAACTGATAGGCGTATTCAAGAATACCTTTCTAATCTAAGTTCTTAAAGTTCACTTTTCCAATCTAAGTTCTTAAAGAGCGTTTTTCTAAAAGGAGCCAAGTCCATTTTTTAAAAAATTGAGGTTTTCAACATTCGAATTACTTATTGAAAAAGTTAAAAGTCGAACTATGTTAAAATCTATGTTATTTTGAAAAAAAATTTTTTTAATCATCTATTTACTATTACAAAAATATTGGTACTCAAAACATTCTTCGCTGCATTTAGTTTATTTTTATATTTGGAAGACAAACATGTTTAAAATTGTTAATAGCGGAACAAAATTTGATAGGTCAATAAACTGGTAATATTTTTTTTGTTTTAGTAATTGAAAAAAATAAAAATATAAAAATTACTTATACTCTTTTATATAAAAAGGTTTTTCAATAGAAATGCTTCATATTTGTCTTAGACTGAGATGAAACAAGTCTTAGCAATAACACGTAACTTAGCAATAACACACACAGAAAATAATAAGGATAAAGATAAAGAGGATAAGTAAAAAAAAATTATTTTTTTTACTACTTATCCTCCTCAATTTTTCTTCTCAATTTTCTTTTCTAAAAATTGGAATTCTAATATAAAAAGTTTTAGTATGAAAAACAAAATAAAAAACTTGTAATTTTAGAGGTAGCCGCTGTTAAAATTTAATTTTTTTTCTCTGGTTCTTACAGAAAGTCGCTCTTAAGTATGAGAACATCTAATGATCCATTTAATGTCTGAATAGTTGTACGATTGTGACTTTAACAACTATTTTATGTTACAAAACTTTTATTTTTTAGATCGTTTTGTCATTATTATCGTTGAAGAAAAAGAATACATCAAAAAAATTAAAACTTGTCCTATTAGACACGGTGTTGTTCTTTTGATAGCAACAATATTCAGCGGTATTTTTTTAATGCTGCTATTTGCCGGAGATTTAGCATACAAAAAATATTTTGGGAAATATGGTTTTGTTCCACTCAATACACCCTTGAAAGACACACAATCAATTCCTCTATCTGCAAAAAGTAACGAACCGTTTTATGATATACCAATAGACGGAAACTCTTTAAGTTAACTTTTTATAATTGCCTAATTTTATATCTGTAGCTCAGTTTGTTTTATTTTATATCTTTAACCCTTTTTTTTTAAAAACATATTTACTCTCTTAAATATTTTTATTAAGCATCCAAGTATAGATTGTTTATAAGAACAATTGTAAACTGACAAAACAAAGTACGAAAATAATTAACAAAATCAAATAAAGTTTAAGTTCTTTTTCCGCTGACAGTAAAATTTGTAGTTCGTTTTTATAATTATTTTCCAATTTCAAACTTTTTATTTTAACTTTGTATTTTTGTTGATTAGATATTTTTCTTAAATTATGAACAAAAATGACAACATATCTAGCGTAAAAATTTCAAAATAAGGGTTAAAATAAGAACCAATATTACTATTGGTTCTTATATTAACCTCGTCTTTGTAGAAGAGCGACATTCAGCGCATCGTTTGACTTGAATTGAAAAAAACTGAAGTTTTTTCAACTTTTTTTTTTTAATACCGCGTAAGTTTGTATATATTTTTTAAGTGTTATACTTCTTTTATATTACCTGTGTATATTTATTTACTTTTTTAATCCATTTGCAAAATTTAAAAATTTGATCAAAATAATTATTAATATTTTCCTTTAGCAACTTGTCAAATATCGCTTAAAGTCTCGTTTATCCAAATTAAATAGTCACGCCTACATAAAACTAAATAAAAACTGTGTTTAAATAATAATAATAATAAAAAAAACAGATAAAAATCATACAATAAGGCAACAAAAAAATTATTATTGAAAAAAAAAAAATATATATATATATAAAATAAAACAAATAAATAAGAAATACAACTAAAAAATTATCCTGGCGATTGTTAAAAACAAGTCGAGCTTTTAACATCAAAAAACTACATATTTTATTTGTATCACGAATATTTTTTATATTAAGATTTTTGTCAAACGGTGTTAAAAAATCCGAAATAAAAACAAATTCAACTACAGAACTGTAAAAAAAAGCAGCTCCTAATTGAGAATAAATAAAACTTCTTTTAATCGAATTTTCTGTCTTGCACTTCACTCTTTAATAAAGATGTGAACTAAAATAAGTTTTTAACTCTAGAATAAATAACCTGTCTAGTATAAAGTACCCATTGTCTATGACGAGACAAGGAAATCATATAGAATTATTAGAAACTTCAGCATATTTACTAACCTACACAGGGAAATAAACTTTAAAATATAAGATATTTTTCAATTTTGGAGCGAAACTAGAGTTTGCACCTACAACTCTACAGCTGGGGATTTTTATGAACTTAGCAGCGCACCATCCTACTGAGAACACCATCCTACTGAGAACACCATCCTACTGAGTTATTGTTCAAAATATATACAAACATACATTCAGAAATAATTTTGAAGTAAAATATAACAATTGCCCAAAAATAACATACTCTTGTGTAGACATTTATTCTCAACACTCTGTACATTAGTATTAATTTAAATAAAATATATTCGTAGCACAAGTGACATCATTAACAGTAGCCAGCCTTATCTTGAGCACTCAAATAGTACAAGTCATTAATTAACCAAATATGTAATTATTTAGAAAATGACTCATGAAAGGTTTAATGTATACAAACGGAAAATGTAATAAAATGTTCGAAAACTTATATTTATAGTTATTTATATATTTTAGGACGGTATACAGTGTTCTTAAGCAAAAGAAATTTTATATATAGAGTTCATCGTTTCTTCTTCCGCGACTTTTTAACAGGCTAAAAATATAACAGTAATGACTACGTAATAGTAATTAATTGCAAAAAAAAAGTATTTGATAATATATATTTTACAAGTTTAATCAAAAAATACGATCCCTAAAGAAAAATATAAAAAATGAAAATCTTTTTACCTGATAGTGCAACACCTGCAAAATACTTAACGTCGACATCAGAATCTTGGTTAAGTTGAGTCAAGCATGGCTTAATTGTGCCGTTTACAACGCTGAAAAAAAATTAATTGAATTTTATATATTTTCAACAAACAATAATATAAAATAATAAAGTAATAAAAAAGTACGTTGTGTCGGTAGTTGGAGCAATTTTTTGCAATGTCTTAGCAACATTGAAGCGAACATTTGCAACACTATCTTTTGCTAAACTCAGTACTGTTGGAAGAATCAGCTTGCAAGTAATATCTGGCTCACATACTTCAATCATTGTGTTTATAGCAAATAAGGTTGTCATTCGGTGAAGATAATTTGTGTCTTTAGACATTGCCAGGACTTTTGGTATAACGTTACTCTTAGAATAAAAAAAATAAAACAATTTTTAAATAAATTACTAAATATAATTGATATATATATATATATATATATATATATATATATATATATATATATATATATATATATATATAATACATTTTTTAATACTAAGCAATAAAAGTAATTACTTGAGCCCACGTCAAACCAAATTTTTCTACCAGCTTCTTTAAGTTCAGAGCAGCAGCTTCACGAATTGCATAAACTATTGCAAGATTTACAAATAAAAAACAACTTGTTCATGAAAACACCATGCAAATACTATAAAATTTACAATTAAAATTTACCATGATCGACCAACCAGCTCATACATAAAGCACTTAACTTCTCATCAAAGAACTGCATTCCCTGCAATAAAATTAATCAAGATCAAAAAGGATACTTTTTATTATAAACGTATTTATAAATTTTGGTAAAAATAATTCTATACCAACTGTCCAGCTAACAAAGGCATATATTCAATTATAGCAAGTCGAACTCTCCATTTTGGGTCTTCAGCAAGTTCCATAATAGCAGGAAGAAGAGATTGTGAAAGTTGATGAATTCCAATAACTAAACAACAATAAGTTAACAAAAAAGCTATTTTTAAAAATGATGCTGACCTGTGCAAAGTTCATACTGATAGTTGTATGTAAAAAATATCAAATAATATTTTTTACATACAACTTTACAGTAATAGACACCAGCACATCATGAAATCAAATAACTATGTCTGGTCTGTATTTTAATAGTACAATAATAGTAATCATTTATGAATATACAAAATTATATTTTCTATAAATAATAATGTAGGCAAAAAAGTGTCATTTAGGTGCAAGTTTTTGTCAATTAGGTGCAAGTTAGTAAGTTAGCACAAATCTGAAAATTAGAATTTGATTACACTGGAATATTTTAAAATTTGATAACTGAAATAATTTAAATAAATTTTATATATGCAGTAATCCTGCTTTGGTCTACACAATACAAATATTATCATTGTTTTGAATATAAACCTAAGCAGCTATACTGCTAATGTAAATATTACTGTTGATATCCTGTTGTTAGACAGTATCAAAAATAGTAAGTTTGTTTTATAGAAAATATGTCAAAAAAAATAACTTAAAGTTTTATTCTAAAAAATCATATTATATGAATCTTTTTGTTCCTTAGGCTTCCAAAAACATTGAGAAAATAGTACGAAAAATATATAAATTTTTTTAATAATTTTTTTAATAATAACACAAAATTATTATTTTTCCCTTTATAGCTAGCTTCTATAATATGCTAATGTTTTCAGAAATGTTGGTTCATAAAATATAAAATATCTCAAGACAACCCTTATTGCCCAAGTTTAATTAGGTTTTTTAGGACTTTTTTAGGCAAGTTTTATTGGATGGATATTTTAATACAATCACTGATTGTTTTCTGCCAACGATGATAAACGCTGGAATTTCTTGAAGTTAATCATGAGCTATTACTTCTTTCCTTAGCAGTTGCTATGTTTCTCAGTTGCTATGCAACTCTTTCTTATAAATCCTAATGAGAGATTAATTAGCGCCGTATTTTCAACATATAAGGTCAAGTTCTCTACTTATGATTATAGTAGGGGAGAGTGATTATAGTAGGGGAGAGTGGGCACCATGATACATAAGGCCACATGAAACTTTGTAATTGTGGAGGCATCTTAAGAGTTGTGACAACCACTTTCATAGGGAAACAGTTGCTACTAGAGCTATGTTTTAAAAAAAATTATACCATTTGACATCATTAGGCCTATGAGAGGTCCAAATTTTTGGATGACAAAGTGATTTATTAGTTTTTAAAGCTCATAAGTTTTAAGGTATTCAATATGTCTATCGGTAAGTAACATTATTTTGTAAACTACATTCCATAAACTCTTTACTTCAATAAAAAAAATCATTGAAAAACAAGTTGATACTAAAAATAAAGCAACTTTTTTCTGTTAGAAAGTGTGGGATAACTTAATATAGCATTTGTGGGGGACCCTAAAATTGTACTCCATTGTGTCATAAACAAATTTAAAAATCATTTCTTTTAATATTTATAGCCAATTCTATAAGATTTATGTAAATGTAATACAAAGAGATCCCACTCCGATACAAAGCAATTATTTGTTGACAATTTTTTTTTTTTAATTTTTTTTTCAATTATTCACCTCCCTAAAGCCCAAGGGGCCACTACAGTCGAGGAGGCTACTCATTTTTTTTTTTGTTGTAAATCGTGGTACAACTTTCTCTCAACTCTTTAACTCCGAAACACGAACCTTGACAAGCAAGGCCGCTGCGCGGAGAAATTAAGTTGAGCGCTGTACTTCCAAGGACATGGTGGAAGTCGAACTCCGAACCTCTCGCTTACAAAGCGAGCGCTCTTACCTCTACACCACTACCGCATATTTAAACTTGAAATGATATTATCTTAAAATGTAATTGGGACCATTTGGATGCATTATTTTGGTTATAATTAGTAGTTTGTTTATATTTCAAGTAGAAATTTTCTTTTTCTCTATGTTTTTCTTTATGCCTTTTCTTTATGTTTTATCCTTTTTATTTAATTTTTTTTAATGATGCTCATAGAGTTTTCCAAGGTACCCCATGGATGAGGTACCTTGAAACAAATTTTTTATCTCACTTTTAAAAGTCTCACTAGTTTAATCTGTTTAATCTGGTAATTCATAAATTTGATTTTGTATGTATAAATTTATTCTACAAAATAAACCAATCGCCTAAAAAAAAGACGTATTAAAAATATTGCTACAAAGTAAAAACCAGAAGTGTGTCATGGTGCCCCACTATCCCCTACCTAAAAATAATAATAAAAAAAAAAACAACAACAATTACCACCAAATTTTATTAAACCTATTCACAGCCTCAGAAATAGCTGACTAACATGTCTTACTTAAACCTATTCACAGCTTCAGAACTAGCTGACTAACATGTCTTACTTAAACCTATTCACAGCTTCAGAACTAGCTGACTAACATGTCTTACACTTAAAGATGCAAATTAAATCTTTACAAAATATTGTTACAAATCTTTGAAGTAACTTTTTATCTGTTGTGTTCTGAGACAAAACCCATTAACATTCTACCACTATTTCAATTTCTTTCTTGACATCAAAACAAAAACAAAATTTCCTTAACTAAAAACTAACAATGATAAGAGAAACTTATATACCACTATACTTCTAATAACAGCTAATAACAGTACAAATTATAGTTTTAAAAAAATGCAAAAATACGCATCAAAGGACTATCAAAGCCAAGTGAAATAAGGAAAAATTTGGAAGAGAGCAAGGATAAAAAAAATTATAAAAAGATATATTGAACACAATGGCGACTGCTTATCGTAAAGAAACTTTTACTAAAAAAAAAACAACGTGTTGGTCAAAAATAATAAAAAGATAAAAAAAAAAAAATAACTTAAAAATAAAACTAATTTCATGAATTTTTTTATATAGCAGATCATAAGTCAACCAACCAAAATCTATATTTTTGGCCTTTTTGGGACTCCCCAACCCTGTTCATGGTACAGATTTTTAACATCTGTTCATGGTATATTGGACTGATGTTAAAAACAAAATAAAGACACTATAGTAAAGCGTATAGTAAAAAAATAATAATAATATAGCACCGTGCATGTAATATAAATGATAAACTTAGACTCTTAAGTGAAAACTGACCCACGCGAAAGGTTTAAAAATTAAATGAAAAACATGATGACAACCAAATATTCTATAGCACAAACTAAACCATGAACAGGGATGGGGAGTCCCAAAAAGGCCAAAAATATAGATTTTGGTTGGTTGACTTATGATCTGCTATATAAAAAAACTCATAAAATTAGTTTTATTTTTAAGTTATTTAATTTTTTTTTTATCTTTTTATTATTTTTGATCAACACATTGTTTTTTTTTTAGTAAAAAAAGTTTCTTTATGATAAGCAGTCGCCATTGTGTTGATAACATGTTTGCTTTAAGCGTTAACCTGTTAAAATCTTTTTTTCGATATTTTAATGTTTTTCTGACAAAGGATTTTTTTAAATTTCTTAAATCTTCAACTACAAGTTTTAATAAATAATTTATGAATAACTTTAAAATAAAACTAATTACTACAATATAAAATAATAAAAAAATAAGTTAATAAATATGAAATGAAGACAAAGTGTTTGAATATTAGGCAATGGTAAAGATAGCAAAGATATATCCCTGACGAGCAATGCTAGTCATTTTTTATCTGGTTTTCTAAAAAATTTTTGTTATATTTAGGGCCACAATATATTGTTAATATATTGTGGCCCTAAGGATAGAGTTTCATCAACATTAATCCCCTTCTTTATTTTAAATGGTTCTTTGTGATTTTTATTATCTTTCCACCCTTCACTTTCATTTAATATATATTTGTATTGTGGATTGTTTTTTTTTTTTCTCTTTACACGTCAACCCTTGAATTAAGGAAAAATGAGTTTGGTAATAATTTGCCGACCTCTATATTTTAGAGGTCAGCATAAAAAATTTAGTACAAAGATCTTACCATAAAACATAGGAGCGAGGTCAGCATTTTTTTTGACCTCAAACACTTTAAAATCGGCATTACTGAATGCCAACCCTCTTTCCAGGGCTGATACATGCATATATATATATATATATATATATATATATATATATATATATATATATATATATATATATATATATCTTGTTGACAATTTATTTTGGTTTCATAAAAACAAAACAAGAAAGGTCAACAATGTTTATTTTCATCTATCATAGTTATAAATTATATACCAATAGAAAATTTTTTTTTTTTTTTTTTGCTTTTTAATATGCTTAAATCATATAAAATTGAGTAGTTAAAGATTTAAGAAATTTAAAAAAATCCTTTGTCAAAAAAACATTAAAATATCAAATATTTTATTAATATAGAACTTTTTTGTCAAAATAAAAAAAGAGAGAGAGAGAAAAAAAAAGTAGATTTAATAAATCAAACCTTGATTAACACTGTCTAAATTTGAAATGATGTTCAAGCGAACGTCAGGAAACTAGTTTCAAAAAAAAAAAATCATTAAATAAAATTAAACTGTAACAAGATAATAAAGGAAAATAATCATTAAAATCTCACCTCATCTTTTAGCATAGTTAAAAACAATGGCAGAAGATGTTCAATGGTACTATAAATATTTTGTATCGAAATTATTAAATATTTTGTATCGAAATTATTCAATTAAAAAATTACAAATTTACTTTATATTAGATAAAAAAAAGTTATGACTATAAAAATATACTTGTCTTTTCCTAGCATTGGAGAAAGGCCCATAATTACACCTGCCAACGCAGCTTTTACATGCATGTTGGGATCAATAACCAAATCCTTAAATATTTTAATCTCATAAAAGTCTTATCAAAATTACAATAAATTATAAGAAAAAATATATCTACCTTTACACATGGGAGTAACGTCATCATAATAGATTGTTCACGAATGTCTTCAGGAAGATTCTCACAAAACTCTATAATAAATTATTGTTATTTCTTTTTAAAGTAATATCAGCGCTCGAAATAGCTTTTCAAAGCTTGCCGATCAAATGTAATTTTTTTACAAAAACATGTTGTTTTCCTTTGAATTTTTCAAAATTTCCCTAAAAATAGCCGATCATTGATTTTTGATCGATGATCGGCCCTTATTTCGAGTTCTGTAATATAACTATTATATATATATATATATATATATATATATATATATATATATATATATATATATATATATATATATATATATATATATATTTTAGCATAATAAGAATTATTCAAATTCAGATTATTAACAACACCTTTCACTTTGTGGGCTGCTGCTGTTTTAACTTCTGCTTCCCCATCTTTTAAAAGAGATGCAAAAGCAGGTACTAATTCTTGTTTGTTTATCTCAGGTCCAACAGCTTTCTGTAGTTCTACTATTTTATCAGCAACCATGTATCTGACTCGCCAAGATTTATCCTGGGCAGCATTTCTTAGTGATGGCAAAATTAAGGATTCAATATCAGTGGGAGATAATATCTCAGCAATGCCCACACAAGCTTCTACAGCAAGTAGTCGAACAGAATCTTGGTCATCGTTTGCTAGATTTGTAAATGACGGAATCAATTCTGACTTGACATATTCTACTTCAACAGTTTTTACAAATTCCTTTTAAAAAAATAAATTTATTCAAACTTAAACATTACCTAAAAATCATTAATTTCAGAAAATTTGCAGCTATACACATGGTAAAAAAATTGCAATTTAAGTAAAAACATACACCAAGTTTTCCAGCAGCAGCTCTTCTCACCATTGGTGTGTCATCACAACATAGATTTTTAAATGCACTAAATAAAATATGTTTATAAAAGAAATAAGTGTTATAAAAATAAAAAAATAAAAACATTAATAAATCTATAAAAAAAAAAAAAAAAAAAAAAAAAAACAAGCAGAAAAACCTGCGAAGTTCTGTTTTTATATTACTGTTAACACGAGGATAACAGCAAGCAAATAAACCACATGCTGATGTTCGAGATGTGAACCAATCCCCTAAAATAAATCAAGAAAATTTTTAAGTACAAAATTATTTATTAGCACCATTTGGTGAATCAATGAGCTGCTCAATCATGTCGTGTTGATTTTTATCATGGCTGATATATATAGAAGTCATGAAGCAGTGAAGAACCCACGCGTGTTTTAGTACTGTTTTACCGGTATGGGCGCCCAAATAAAAGCGCCCAAAAATTATTTTTATTTTTCATTTTTCTTTTGATTTTTTATAAAAAAAAAAGAAAAAAAAAATTAGTTTTAAATGCAGTAGTATATAAGTAATTCTTAGTTTAATTTAGCTACCTCATTTTTTTTTTCAGGAAAATAAAAAGAATTAAAAAGAAATAGCTTTTATATATAACTACGTGATGTAATTTGCTTTCAGTTATTAACTAGACATAACTTTTAAAAAAATCAAAGTCGTTAAGAAACTTAATTTTAAAACCAAGTTGCAAAATTTTATAACAATGGAATGTATAAAAGATTTGCTTTTTTGGGAGTTAAAGCGTTTTTAAATATTCATTCAGGGTAAGGTTAATTTTTCTTTTTGGCAATTAAGAATAAATAATTTTACTTTTGTTCATTTATTATCAAAATAGCTTTTGATAATAAATGAACAAAAGTAAAAAATATCAGTCCTTGTAACTATCACGCAAGTTTAATTTTTAAATGAATGAACTTTTGATCTTTAGCTTGCTATTTTAGTTAACGTGAGGAAAACGAAAAAACAAAGTATAAACTTTTTCAGACAGTTTTTTTTCCTTTCAATATTCTTTTAAAAATAATAATAAAAAATGTTTCAATAACTTAATAAAATTTTTATTTAGATCTGTTTAAAATAACCCATAGTAAATGTAATTTATTTATTCAAATGTAGTTTTTTAAATTATTCTTAATAATTAAAAAAATATATTCTTTTAATATAAGTTTTAAAAAATATAATATGGTTTTTAATCAAAATAATAAAATATTTTTAAAATTATGTATACTGTAATTATCTCTTTAATTATCTTTAATTTAAAAGGCGCCTTAAAATCACTTTAAAAATTTTAACCTTTATTAAAAGTTAAATGAACAGATTTACTAATATTTTAATCAAAATTTTAAATTTAAAATAATAGAAAATAAGTTTATTAAATGCTTATGCTTTTATTCGAATAGTTTATTAAATATGTTTATTAAATGCCTATCAAATTTGTTTATTAAATGCTTATGTTCTTAATTCAAATACGAAATGTAAAACTCTTTTGTTAATTTTACAAATATTACGCGATATAATATATGTAAATATTATGTAATGTAAATATTGATTAAAAATTGTTTAAAATATTTTTAATTGTTGTTTTAAATTGAATTTACTAAAATATAGTTAATAACTGTTTAAAATACTTTAAAGAATTTTCAATAACTATCTACTGATAGCGTGGTATATGCAACAAAAGCGTTTATTAAAATCTTAGGTAAAATAGTTTTCTTATAGCTAAAGTAACATCGTCCACCAGTAAATTCATGTATTTAAAAATGCCTCTAAATCAACACCTTATTATAGGATATAAACTGAACAAGATAAACATACCCGTTTAACAAGAGGAGAATGAGGGGGAGGGGAATATCAAAGGGAATATCCCCCCTCCCTCAACGTTGCTGGAAAAAAAATGGTATCCCCAAATAAACTCTGGGTTCTTCACTGTGAAAAAATGACTGAGATATGTATAAGATTAAAACAAGAACTGATGAGTCAAAATTCAAAAACAAACATTATAATAAGTGAAAATAATTTAAATTTTAACTTGAACAAAATTTTAATTTAAACAAAAATGTCTTGATATAATGGATAGATAAAATTATTGATATAATGGATAAAGATTTTTAATTAAAAGTAATTTAATATGTAACTTAAATGCCTGGTGCATAGCATTTTTACATACATATTAACATGAGTAAAATAAATTATAATAAAAACTATTATTTTAAAAAGAGTTTCAGTAAGGCTATTTAAGTTGGAAGTTAACATTTTGAAAAAATTTATAAAGAAAAAAAATGGTTGACAGAAGACTTAGAAAACGGTAAGGACAGTAAACTTCAATAAAGAAAATAATTCAAAAGCATTTAAACATGCTTGTGCCATGAAAATCTGCAAAAAGTGCTACTTTATAGATAAGATTATCAGAAATCTCATTATTATCGATAAGAAAAAACTTACCTTGCTATAACCCAGAAGTCACTGGTATGCAAGTGTTGTTTAATACTTTTTACTACTTCAATACAGCGGTTAGAAAAGAATGACTCAATAATTTTAAAAACATTCATAGATACACCATATTAAGCGAGCTTATGGTGAAGCATGATATTATCTAAAACATGTCCTTATGTCAAGAGAAATAGCCCTTGCACCTCTAGTTAATGCACAACAAAACTTTTCAGTTACCATGAGTTATCAAGGGTTTATAGGAAAATTCTGAGTTAAAGGTCATGAATGACAAAGATTTTGAGGTTTAGTGCCAGCAGGGTCAGTGGTATTGATGGTAATAAGTGTGATAAGCATTAAAGTCACTAATAAGATGATTTAAAGATATGGATTTGCTATATAGCACAAATAAAACCTCTTTGTGCTCTAAATACAAGAGCACAAAGAGGTTGCATACTAAATTTATTATTTAGTGTGCAGAAAGTCAGTTGTAAAAAATTTAAAAATAAGGAAAAAACATCTGATTATAATAATGTATAAGGTAAATTTCCAATTCATTTCGATAGTTAAATTATTTTGTTTGTTGTAAATTTAAACTTTACAAAAAAATATATCTAAAAATTATTTATAATTATTTAAACTACATAATTATAAACTTACAGCAACTGTACCAAGTATTTCAAAAAACTTATTAGAAAAGTTGCTCAACTTTTAATTTTAATACTTTTCTGACTTAAGCATTTTTGACTTCTAACAATATATTTTAAAAAATAAATATGATATGGCTTTGAAATTTTTATTGCATGTTTAATAGTGATTTTGCCAGTTATCTGGTTTTGTGGTTAACCGGATTTTGTTCGAATATCAAATATCTATTTTTGAATAATAAAAACCGACTTAAAAATTTTACGAAATTTTATAAAGTAACATCGTAATTATGACGATTATTGCTTGACAAAAATTAATTTATCAAAGATTATAATAAATTTCTTTTATTAATTTAAATGTTAATTTAATCAATTTTGTTTGATAATATATGCTTAAGACAATTTACAACAGAAATCTCAAAGATTTATTACTTTTGCAACTCAAGCAATACATTTTAAAGAAAGTTTCTTCAGAATATTCTGGAACTCTAATTTGCTTATTCAGCGTATTTTGTGAACCAATAGAATTTGTTTATTCGTAGATTTGGCGGTATTTTAGTGTTAGCTAATATTCTTTATATTATCTTTCCACAACAAGTTGTTTTGAGAACATTCAAGTTTATCGATGTTTTCATCTATGTCCGCATAACAATGAGTTTTTAAAATAAACGCTAAAAAAATTTACTTCATATTATCTCATTTTTCCATATCAAATGTTTTTATATGAGAATGATTTTAAAACACCCGCTGATATTAAAACATTTAAACTACACTTGTACATTATTCCTACCTTTTTTAATTATATAATTAAAAAGGTATATTATATTATAATATAAAAAATATATATATCTTTTTCCATTTTTGTTATAAATATATAATATAGGACTGTATTCATTAACTGTCTTGAAAATGGACACTTTAACATTAATTTTTAAAAAATTAGTTTAAAACGCTATGTTCGTTGAAATTTAGAAGATCCTGTATTCAGAGGGCGTCACTAATTTACCGAATAGTCAGTTAATCGCAAATTTTTTATTATTATTATTTTTTTTTAATTCACCTCCTCAAGGCCGAGAAGGCCACTACAGACGAGGAGGCTACTTATTTGTGGCTATGACCCTCTCTCAACTCTATAACTCCGAAACACGAACCTTGACGAACAAGGCCGCTGCGCCGAGAAACGAGTTGAGCGCGGTACTACCAGGGACGTGGTGGGGATCGAACTCGGAACCATTTGTTTATGAAGCAAACGCTCTACCACTACACCACTACCGCATTTTTGATGGGAACTGTTATCCGGTTTTTGAAACGGACTACCGGCAAAATGTTTAATTAATATATACCTATTTTATTGACCAAAATTAATGTTGAATAAATATTTTTTAAAAATTATGACTCAAAAAATCAAATGATCTCTTATTCATGACCTAAAAAATATTTTTACAAGAAAAAAGTCATTTATTAATTATAGATAATTTTAATAATTATGGAACATGTTTTTATAACCTATTAACATTAAACATTAGTAACAATTAAAAAAAAAAATTTAGTGTTCACTGAAATTTTACCAGTATAACAGTTCATGAATCCCATGGGCATTCTGAGATTTTTTTTTTTTACGTGGGCATCAAATTTAATCACAATTTGTTTTAACTTATTGACAAAATAACGAGATATATAATACACTTTTAATTTTATTTTATATACTTGCCTTTACTTTTTATATTGCAATACAAAATTAGTACTGGAGTTTAGGCACAAATTTAGATGCCCAAATTGGTATACTAGTGTTAAATTTGGCCAGCATTTGTTAATGTTCTTTAAAAAACAAGATTAAAGTTTTAACCACCTGTTAAAAAAAGAGAAAAATCTACCGTTGAAATACTATTAAATTATATTTAAAAATACATTTTTAATCAAAACTTTATAGTGGCAGTTAAAAGTTTATAGTGGCAGTTCTAAAACAATTTTATTTTTATTAAGTAATCAATTTAAATTTTTTTTAATATTTTATAAAATTTTTGATACTTTTTAAAAACATTTTGAACCTTACATTTTGAAAAGGACCAAAACTTCTAACAGTTAGTTTATAAATTTAAACTAAAAATTTCTGTAATATTTATGCTTTTTTTTATAAAAAATAAGTTACATAAGATATATGATTCTTTATTTATCTACTTCTACGTTCAATTTCTTTAGCAGCATAGACATTATTTTTATAAAAATTGTTTTTTGTTGATTTTGAAAAGTTTTAATAAATGGACTTATGCCCCTTTTAAAATGGCAGGTTCAATTTAATATTAAATTACTTCAATTTTATCAAACTTCTTTTAATAATTGAATGAAATTCTATGTGTGCAAGAGTTATTTCAATCTATTAACATTAGGTTATTTGAGCGTTAGATATTTCTGCAGGTAATTTGAACATTAGATATTTATGGTTTTTAATTTAAAAATGAATCAATTTTATTCAAATTTATTACTTTAAAGGGAATACAAATTCTTTAATTTCTAAGCATTAAATTATTTTAAAGTTCAGTCATGAAAAACTATTACTAAGATAAAAATATATAAAAATTTTGACTATCCAAAAAAAATAAAATAAAAATTGACTATCAGTTTTATGTGTCAGCCAGTCAAATTTACCACTTGTCATTGAACTCTTATTTTCCACGCTGATATATATATATATATATATATATATATATATATATATATATATATATATATATATATATATATAAACCGTAGAGTTTAGACTAAAGTTGATGTATGTATGCTCCTCGTACATTTTACACCTAACTCAATAAAACAAATAAAAATTAAATAAAACAAATAAAATTTAAAAATAAAAACAATAAAAAAAATACAAACTGCATTTAAAAAGAAAAAATATTCTAGCAGTGAAGTACCCAGACACGTTTTAGTATCGCTGGACCGGTATGGGCGCCCAAAAATAAGTACCCAAAAATTGTATTTATTTTTTATTTCACTTTTTTATGAAAATAAGAAGAAAAAAATTTCAGTTTTTAATGCAGTATATAAATAATTTTCAACTTATTTTAGCTACTTCATTTTATATCCAGGACAATAAATGAATTTAAAAAAATTTAAAACTTTATTACGACTACGTGACGTAATTGGCCTTTAGAGGAAAACCATAAAACAAAGCGCAAGCTTTTTCAGAAGTGTTTTTTTGTTTTCCAATATTCTTTTTGACTTTTAAAATAATAAAAATAAAGATTTCAATTAACTTTTTTTATTAATTTTTTAAAAAATCTGTTTTAAATAACTTATAGTAAATGTGATTTAATAATTAAACATAATTAAAAAATATAGATTTTTTAAAATATTGCATGCTTTTTAATCAAAAAATATAACATATTAATGTTAAATAAATACATATTTTAAATTATGTTTACTGTAATTATCTCTTATTTAATTATCTTTTATTTAAAAGGCGCCTAAAAATTATTAACCTTCAGTAAATGTTAAATGAACAGATTTGCTAATACTTAAATCAAAATTTTAAAATAAAAATAATGGTAAATAAGTTTATTTAATGCTTATTCGAATAGTTTATTAAATACGTTTATTAAATACTTATCGAATTTGTTTATAAATGCTTGTTTTTAATTCAAATACAAGAGGTAAAACTATTTTGTCCATCTTACAAATATTACGCAATTTATTATGTAAATATACTATGTAATGTAACTATTGATTTACAATTGGTTAAAGTATTTAAAAGTTTTATAACTAATTATTTAAAACATTAGTAAGTACTAAAATTAAATTTACTAAAATGTAGTTAATAAATGTTTAACATACTATAATAATTCTCAATAATTATTTACTGATAATGTGGTATTTGCAACAAAAATGTTTAATAAAGTCTTAAATAAAATAGCTTTCTATTAAATCTAAAGTAACATCGTCCACCAGTAAATTGATGTATTATAAAAAATCCTTTTGAATTAACTTCTTATTACAGGATAAAACTAATCAAGATAAACATAAATGATAACTGAGGAAATGATTCTTAAAAATTATTATTGCGGCACCCGTTTAAATAAGGGATAAGAAAGGCGAGGAGGAGGAGAAGGAGGGAGTCTAAACATTACCTCCCTCCCCACTCCCCTAAAGTTGCCGAAAAAAAAGTGGTATCCCCAAATAAACTCTGAGTTCTTCACTGTCTAGTAAATTAAGTAAAAAAATATTTAATTCACAAATAATTTAATGGTTCTGGTTTTCATAAGTCAAAATCAAAAGTTAGAAACATTTTTTAAATTTGCAAAAAATTTTTAATACTTTTTTTTTTAAAAAAATTCATATTCAAAATCTTGATTGATAATATTATATATATGGGTGATTTATGTTTTAAACAGCTAAATCTGTTGTTTTTTGTCATAGTTTGTTGTTATTTTAGCAAAAAATTAGAATATTAAATTAAGGAAAAACCAACAAAATATTTTACAGAAAAATTTACTCAGATTGTTGTTCTCAGATTGTTATTAAAAAAATTTAAATTAGTTTTTATATATTTTTAAACTCTTTAATTTTGTATACATTTCTGTAAAAGAGTTTCAAGCATTTATAAGAAAATATTAAATAAAATTTTAATAAGATTTAAAAATATTTTATATCATATTTCATAATTTCTTTTATTTAAAATATTTGATCACTGCTAAATTCCTTTAGATTGTGGTTGTTTTTTTAAGATCGTACCTTATTGCGCTTTATTTTTCTAGTTTTATCTGTTGATATATAAAATTGAAATATAAAAATGATTTATAATATATTAAGATATTATAACAAATTAAGATATTAAAGTTTAAATCATAATTTTTATAATAATAAAAATAAAAGTAATAGTATGGTTTTATAAAAAGATTTAATATCATAGTTCAAGATCAATATAAATATTTTTTATTGAATAACAGCTATTGAGTTTAGTGATTAAAACAGAGTTTACAGTTTTTAAAAAGCTAAAAATCGAAAGACTCAAAGCATTTCCAGATACTGCAATTCGCACTTACTTAATTCAAGCCCTAATTCAATTCAAACACACAAAAATACACACTTATATATATACTATTATATAAAAGCTTTTATATAATAGTATGTATATATATATATATATATATATATATATATATATATATATATATATATATATATATATATATATATATATATATATATATATATATGTGTGTGTGTTGTCCGTAGACATTTTTGTTTTTTTTTAATATAAAAAAAAAAATTAGGTTACATAAAAAAATCAACTTTGTTTATAATCAATGTGAAAGAGATGAAAAAAAAATTAAAAAAAAAATATTTTGATAAAAAAATAGTTGTTTTTGTGGAAAAAATAAAAAATGTTTCTAAATACTGAAAAATTACCGTCATTGCAATTTATGCAATATCTTTTTATCTCAAATTAACGTGTACAATTTTTATTTTAATATTGCAAAATCAGATAAAAATTAAAATTATATATATTTTTTTTTATTTGTTATTATGTATTAATTGTTGTTTTAGCTTTTACCACTTTTGTTTTTAAATAGCATAATATATTTTCTTTAAGTTTGTTTAACACATATTATTACAAACAAAAAAAAAAAAACAATAACATTTTTAACTAAGGAATAATGTTTTTTTAAAGATATCAAAATTGTTTTTTAAAATATTTTTTTTGTAATGTAAACAAAAGAAACATCAATTTATTATTTCAATTTAAGTCAAATCATTTTGAGATTAACTGGTTAATAAAATCATTTAGTCAACCAATACTTAAATAGATCAAAACAAGCATAAAAAATAGTAATTAGTGGCAAAAATGTTAAATAAAAACAATGTAAAGAATAAAATATAAACAACATTGGATAATTAATATTATAAGTTCTGCTAGAGTAAATATTCAAAACTATATATAAAATATATATAAATATATATATATATAAATATATATATATATATATATATATATATATATATATAAATAAATATATATATAAATATATATATATATATATATATATATATATATATATATATATATATATATATATATATATATATATATATATATATATATATATATATACATACACTACACCAAACCACAAAAATTATTAGACTTAATGTTGAAATAGGCATCTTTTGTTGACATAGGTGCTAAAGCGCCTAGTTTTTAAAAAGCCATATTTCATACTATCAAAACATTATTTTGATTATCACAAACAACTAATATATTTTTCTGTTAGTATGATTGAAATTTTAAAATTTATGTTTATCTATTACAAAAAAAAAAAAAAATAATGAAATAATTAAAAATAATAAATTTACTTATTTTATGACTTTACTTAAATTTCATTTAGTTTTATTGACATTATTATTATTCTGCCATTATTTATTATTATTTTGTTTGTAATGTTTGTAATAATAATTTGTATGTAATTTTTAAGTGTTAAAATTCTTGCTAAAAAATCTCAAAGAATTTTTATTTAGTACCTTGTGAAAGTCTTTTTAATAAAGGCACATAATAGCTTTCTAGATCAGCTGATGAATGATCAGCAGCAACTTGTCTTAATGAGTCAACAGCTTTATCACGTACTACTGTTTCTTCCACAGTTGCAAGGCTTTCTAACGGAGGCAGTAAACAGTTTACAAATTCAGGACCACCTACAAGTGGAGTAAATGTTGCTAACTGCTCTGCTAATGCAAGCAAAACTTCATCTTCATCATAAATTGTATCAGTTAAAAATGGTATTAGTTCACTCCTTGTGCGCTCTACACCAAGTGCAAGAGCAATCGTAGATAACTTCTTAATTGAGTTGAGGCGCAACTAAAATATATATATAGTTTTTAATTACTACTAATAATGTCAAAATGTATTCCATACATATATGTATTCCATACATAATTGAAAATGTATTCCATACATATATTTTTACATTCTAATGATCTCTTATAAATCAAAAGTTAAAATATTTTGATAACAAAAAAAGATTTTCTTTATACCAAATACAATATTAATTTTTTTTATTTGCACGTAACTTAAAATCGAAAACTATTTATTACATATAAAAGTTTTTTAAAAACCATAAGCCTCTCCTTATCATCGTCTAAATGTAGCTAGTCATATTTTGAAGCTACAATAATAAAAACTACATCAACCTGAACGTCTTCATTTCTTAGCTCGTCAATCAAAACAGCGATTGGGTAGAGCGAATCATCTTTAACTTCGTTCGAAGACATTTTGATGTGTTTGTAGACGTTTTGCTGGCAAGGATATTTTTTAAATTGTTTTAATGACCAATAAGTAGTATTTTTTTCATGTTAAATCAACGCATGCGCGTACTACTTAGCATCATTTTTTAAAAGGCGGAACTCTACTGGTTATGCGCGTATAGGAAATAAATTAATTATCGCCAAGTGTGTTTCATTATTTACATCTTAGCTGTCTAACGCGTGGCCTGAGGGCCACTAAGTGTCCTTGCCTGCATATCATTGTCTGTTAATTTTTTGTATTGATTTTTTATTATTATTATTATAATTGACAGCAACATTGAAGCTAATTAAAATTTAAATGATATTTTACGAGGTTAATAACATATAAGTAAAATCTTTCACGAGGTTAATAACATATAATCAAAAAAAAAAAAAATGAATTGAAAACAGTGGCGGAACTTCAAAATTTGCCCCCCCCCCCCCCGCAAAAGAATATTTTTTTGCGGAAAAGAGTTTTATAGTATAAATATTATTGAGAGTATAACTTTTTTTATATGAGGGCCCCCTATAGCTGGTAGGCCCCCCCGCAACGCAGGGTCCTGCGTCCAGTAGTTCCGCCACTGATTGAAAAAAAATTATGGATTTAGTTTTTTATTATTTTTTTTAAAGAAATGGATACCTTAGAAATATTGTAACAAAAGATCATAAATAAATACATCCAGAGTCGATTCTACGAAAAAAATAAGGAGGTAGGGTGAAAGTTAAAAAAGTACCGACTGTGTCAAATGTGTCAATCACCCGACTAGCCGACTGTATTCCTAAAAAACCTACAGTATCATGAAAATCGCCTTCTTTGTAGGAGGGGGGAAGGGTTGTAACGGTCACATACCCCCTCCCAGATATCCCGTTAAATAACCTCTTCATTTATTATGCGCATGTTTTAGCCGCAAACATATAAACATTATTATTTTAATTATATATATATATATATATATATATATATATGTATATATATATATATATATATATATATATATATATATATATATATATATATATGTATATATATATATATATATATATATATATATATATATATATATATATATATATATATATATATATATATATATACATATATATATATATATTACAAATTAATATCTTCTGAAAGAAAAACTTACAAAAGGGGAGGGGGAATTATTAATTATATTCGAACTGATCAAGCCACCAAATATAGAGATGACCTTTCTACCTCAGATGCCGATAGTGAGGTCTTTACAATTGAGATAGCAACAAATAAAAAATCAAAAAACATATTAGTCTCTACATGTTATAGACCACCTGATAGTGATGTTACAAAATTTTCTAATCATTTAAAACAAATTTTTTATAAAAATAACAATGAACAAAAAAAACTATTCTGTATTGGAGACATTAACATTGATTGCTTGCAATACGATAAACATCCCAAAACTAAATTTTTTTTGACGAAATGCTCCAACATTACATCTTCCTAATTATTAATAAGCCGACTCGGGTAACTCAATCATCAGTAACGTCAATAGACAATATATTAACAAATACAGTTCTTGATGTTACTTTAAAAGCAGGTATTATAAAAACAGATATATCGGATCATTTTCCGATTTTCTTTTCTCTGTCACACAATACAAAAAGAACTAACGACTGTAAAATCGAAATTCATAAAAGGAAAATTAACAAATATGCTATTAAGCAATTTTAAGAATCACTATCGGCAATAAACTGGGATAAAGTATACCAAGAATGTAACCTTGGACGCACTCTGCTTATACTAATTTTGAAAACATTTTCTTAAAAAACTATAATAAATATTTCCCAATAAAAGTAATGCTCGTAAAAGAAAAACATCTAAAATGTCCGTGGATCACCAAAGGAATTAAAAAATCTTCCAAAAAAAAACAAAAACTTTATATCAAATACTTAAAAAATAGAAATGAAGCAAACCTAAATGCTTAGAAACAATATAAAAATTTGTTTGAAAAAATCAAAAAGATTTCAAAAAAGAATTATTACTCAAATAAAATAAAAAACTCCAAACTCCTATTAAAAAAACGTGGGACGTAATTAAAGAAATAATTGGGAAAAAAAATTGCAAACTAAATAGTTTACCTACTAAAGTTGTTATAAATGATGAAGAGTATGTCAGTAGTGACGTAATCTCAGAAAAGTTTAACAATTTTTTCGTTAACATAGGCCTTAACCTGGCTACAAAAATTAATTGTCCAAACAACTCATTTGAGACATACTTAACTAATAACAACAACGAATTAGCATTTAGCGAACTAAAAATTGAAGAACTTGAAGTTGCGATAAAATCTCTTAAAATAAATAAAAAAACCAAGGTATAGATGATATTTGTAGCAATATCGTTACCGATGTCTTTTTGGAGATACGCAAACCGATCTTCGAAATATTTAATTCATCAATTAAAAACATTTTGAAACAAATTGAAAATTGAACAACTTTGAAACAAATTGAAAACAGCTAAAATTATACCATTTTTTAAAACAGGCGAAACATCTTTATTAAATAATTACAGACAGATCTCTATACTGCCTACTTTCTCTAAAATACTTGAAAGAATAGTTTACAATAGATTATACGAATATCTCCTTCAAAATAACCTCTTAAACAAAAAATAATTCGGGTTTCAAACAAAACACTCAACCGAACATGCCATTTTAGATCTTGTAAATAGCATGAGTAATTCTATCGATAAAAAGCAATTTGTATTAGGGACTTTTATAGATTTATCTAAAGCGTTCGACACAGTTAATCACAATATCTTACTTAAAAAAATGGAAAGATATGGTGTTAAAAATATATCCCTTGACTGGTTCAAAAGTTACCTGAGTAGCAGAAAGCAATGCGTTGTTACAGATCATAATAAATATTCAGAACTACTAGAAATAAAATGCGGAGTTCCCCAAAGTTCCATTCTGGGTCCCCTTTTATTTCTAATATATATCAACGATCTTCTAAAAGCCCTAAAAAAACTTGATGTAATAATGTTCGCTGATGATACAAATTTATTTTACTCATCGCCGTCTATAAGCGACCTTTACGAATCTATGAACACTGACCTCGAAATCCTCAACATCTGGTTTAAAGTAAATAAATTATCTTTGAATACAGAAAAAACAAAATATATCTTGTTTTACCCCAACCGTCTTAAAACTTTATACCAGGCACTCTACCTTCACTAAAAATTGACAACATAAACATCAAAAGAACTGAAATAACTAACTTTCTTGGAATAATTATTGACCAGAATATTAATTGGAAAGCCCATATTAATACAATAAACACAAAAATATCAAAAAGTATCGGCGTACTCTACAAAGCCAAACCTATGCTTTCCCAAGACAACTTAAAAATTCTCTTCTTTTCTTATATTCAAAGTTATCTAACATACGCTAATATTGCATGGGGAAGTACCCATAAAACTAAATTAAATTCACTCTACATACATCAGAAATATGCATCAAGATTAATTTATAATAAAGATAAATTCACTTATGCCGAGCCTTTACTTAAAAATTTGAATGCATTAAATATCTATCAAATAAATATTTACCAAAATATCTTATTCATGCTAAAATACAAACTCGGACTTGTTCCAAAATACTTTACTGATAGCTTTTTTCATATCAACGCAAACAAATATATCACACGAGGAACAGGCAACTTCACCTTGTCTTTAAAAAAAAACAAAATTCTCGCAATTTTCTTTAATATACCGTGGCCCATACTTACATAACAAAATAATACTTCAAAATATGGAACTTAATAAAATGGATAACCTTATTGCTCTGAAAAAAAAACTAAAACATATCATAATTAACTTAACCAACTTCATCGAAATGTATTAAACAATTTGGTAAAATTAGTAATAATAAAAAGCCCTACTACTTCTACTATATAATAAATACCAAAATACTTATGTGTATTTGTTGAACTAGTTCATTAAAGTTTATCTTATGTTTTCAAGGTTCTCGATGAAAAGACTATTTTAGTCTTCTACGAGTATACTTACAACAAAGAAAAATATTTCTTAAGAATAATTTTATATATATATATATATATATATATATATATATATATATATATATATATATATATATATATATATTCAACAACGTTCACAAGCAAGTCCCTAGTAGCCCTGTGGTACGACTTATTTGCATATATTTTTTAAATGCATGGGTTAATAGCCAGCACTTTATATTATAAACAACGAATAGTTACCTTATTTTATACACTGTACAACGCGCATGCGCTGAACAGAATTTTGAATTTCTTTTGTCTTGTAAAAATCTTAATGGTACAAAAATTGTTTAATTGTACATTTTGTACTTATATGTAAAAATATGTAATTTTGTTTTATTGAAATATATACGGATACTTGTGTTGTAAATAAAAAAATATATATATATATATATATATATATATATATATATATATATATATATATATATATATATATATATATATATATATATATATATATATATACATATTTATAATTAATTTTTTATTTTAGATTTTAGTGAACAGAAAATTACATTTTTTAATTAAAAACGATTAATAGAGAAATTAACAAGATATTTTCATTAAAAAACCTTTTTATTAAAGGTTTTTTTATAAAATGATTGATATTTTTGATACTTTTATATAATTTCGCTTCGTTTGAGACCCAACATGACATACTTTTGAAAAACTTTTTTTTTTATAATATTAGGGACCTATTTAATATTTAAAGGTCGGTAGCAACCCCATAAAATATTTTTTATTCAAAAATTTTTAAATCCACAATTTTTTTATTATATACAACATATTTAGAGGGTGCCAGCAGTCATTTATAAATATATATATATATATATATATATATATATATATATATATATATATATATATATATATATATATATATATATATATATATATATATATATATATATATATATATATATATATATATATATATATATATATATATATATATATATATATATATATATATTATAATTTAGAGCTTATCAATTATGTAGTTTAAAAATTTTTTCTCTTTTTTTGATTGCGAAGATTATATAGATGCCTAAATAGAAAAATAAATAAAATTTTTAGCT